TGATCGTACATGTTTTGTGAACCTATCCCACATGGTTTGCCTGCTATTGAGATCCTAATGGATATATCACGCATGCTCATAGATAACATGACTTACGAGGATTACTAGGAATGATATATAACAGCCAAACAATGATATGATGACACCAAGGAGTGTTATCAAAAACGTTTAATACCGAATTCTATTTATAGAATAGCCCAAGGCCGAATTGCTTGGTGACAATGTTTTAAGCCTTCGTGCAGCTTTAAGTTGGTGATTAATATTTGTGCATTAATGACAAATAGATTGCGATTCATTTAAAAACAAATGAAGTTTGATTATACTCCTACTAGAAATATTGTGATATCACAGGTATTTACATTATATAAAAATTAAGATAAATTATTTGAAGGAGTCGCGTCCCATTTCACAAGAAAATTGTTTCATAGTTACATCTCTAAAAGTGTTTGCATGCATGGAAGTTTGATTGCAGACATCATGTATTTGTTGTGCAAAGTGCAAGCTTACTGAATTATTTTTGCAATCTCTCATAAGACAAGGACTCCATTGCGTCGACCCTTCTTTGCGACTAGATTCTCTTCCCATTAATTCCTAGATGTATTTCTTTGCCTTGATTTCATTCTTTCTTTTCTTCGTTTCTGTTTAACTTTTTGACTTCTTTTGTCTCATTTTTGTCCCTTTCTTTCTTTACATTTCTTTTCTTTTTTTATATTGATTGACAGGTATACGACCAACGGTTTTGATATATTAGACTAATTTTAGTTCAACCCTGGAAGCCCAACTTAGAACAAGGGAGATTGCTGCATCTTCCCTAATCTACTCAGTAGGGTGGTGTGAGGATGTTATTTTCCTGATCCTTTACTATTGTTGTTCTGTTGTTCAGAGGTCAGTTTATGTATCATTGCAGCAATCTGTGATTGACGATCGAGTTCATTTTGAAGTGAAGAGATCGTGTTCTCGCGTTCTTTTATGACTTCCTCATGCTGTCGACCAAGAACCTCTAGAGTTGATACCTAACGATAGTGATAGTCACCCTTTAGGAATTAGTTACAGTCAAAAGACATGAAGCGCGCCCCCTCAAAACACCATTATTCAATTCATTATTCGATTCTTTGTTGATTCAACATTACATTTTTGAAATCAAATTTGAATTCAAACTTCCAAATTTGATTGGATTATTGATCGGATTTTCATAAAGCTTTCTTCGTATTTCGCTTGTAAACATGCTGGTCTTTTGTCGTAATTTCCACAAGTCGATGCATTGCAATCGATGCGATGCATTGGATCTGTTCCTTCTCGTGAGAAATGAATGACGGTCTCAAAAAGCTGGAAATTCTGTGTTGTTTTCTGTCATCAGAGTTCGAGATTCGAATTTAATTTTGCATTAAAAAAACTGAAGTTTGAAAACCAAAAATAAAATAAAAAATCCAATAATGCATTGAATAACGAACTATACAGGGGCGCGCTTCATGTCTTTTGACTGTAATAATCAGCAA